TTCCGATTTAAACAAGCTAATTTTTAGAAATTTCCGAAAGATTCCGAACCATATTAAACTATATAGAAGCAAAATATCGGTAATACCGTATTATACAGTATTATACGGTATTATACCTGGTATTATACTGCTATTTCTAATATACCGGTATAATAAAAACCCTAAACACACTGTATGTATTTACATTGCAAGAACATGTGTTCGGGAAAATGATGGATATTTTTTCAATTAAGACATAAGTAAGGCTATAATAAATTTTTCAGGAAAATGATTGTAATCATATGTGAATGTTTATGAATTCAGAATATTACATTTTAGCAGGCTACAGTTTTTGTTCACTTTTTTTAATAATAAATTATGATTCGTTTGATTAATAATATAGATTACTGCAATTTTTACATCTCTGATTATGTATGTTGGATTTTTATCTACAGCATTTAATTTTACGACATTATAAATTAAATTTCGTGTACTATTTTGGACCAGGATGAAAGTATAAGAGAGTTGCAGTCAACGATACAGAATATATATAACCATCTGGATAAGTGGTACCACCTAACAATTGCAATATATAATAAAATATTGTGAATAAAAGAGCGTTGATTCTTTATTCATTAATATTGTTCATTAATATTAATTATTTTAACTTACATTCTGTATTTGGTGGTGCTACTCCGCCCTTAACATCTGTAAGAATGAAATAGGTAAGATCTGAAAATGCCCCTCTTCCTGTGGTATTCTGTTTATTTTTTTATTATATAAATGTTAATCATTGAACAATTGAAACGCTTATTTAATAAAATACGATAATTACTTTAACCGCAAGAAGTTCATTAAAGTAATCTTCCGTTGGATTCGATGATGGTGCGGTACCAATAACAGTTACAGTCATTGTTGAATTATCATATTTTGGAATAGCTGAAATAACACGTTCTTCACCATCTAAATTGTTATGAAGATTTATAGTTAGAATCCGAACGTCGATATTCTCTGATCCAACAAAATATTTTGACAATCTGTGTTTTTTCCCAAAAATTTTCATTGATGTTTGATCACTCAAAATTTTTAATCTCGACTAGAATTTGGTCGTTAACTAGTTCAAAGTATTAAAAAACATCACATACTTCTGGAATTTAATGCAGCCACAACTGAAGAGGGGTAGAAGAAGCGGTCTTCTTTTTTGTTAAAATATACTGAGCGAAATTGATCTAATAATTACACAACATCGTAAGAACTATAAATCGTAATGTATCAATAAAATAAGTACATATACTTACCAATACCCCATTTTTTACTACTAGTACTGTTACATTTATACCAGACAAGTGCAGCAGAATATAACTTAAATTTATAAACATTCTTGTCCGGAATAGTGAAATTACTCGGAATATAGACATCATATGGATACTCTTAATTTAAGTACCAAAAGAATTAATATTTATTTTTACAGTAATAAGTATCAGATACTATATAGATCGTCAATAGGATTTACCATAATTTCCGATTGATGTTGGAGCTTCATACAACGTAGCACCACTAGAATAGTTTATGCTGAGCAAAAGAACAACTAAGACCGAAAGCAATTCTAGTTTAACCATTCTAGTAAACATCTTAATCAAATATGAGTTCGTATATCTATCTTTGAGAATTGATATGAAAAAAAATAATATTAATAAAAAAATTGCAGAAACTAGAATTAATGCTTACTCTATTTTCAATACAAAAAGTCTTTTATAAATCAAAAGATTTATTTAACAACTTCAAGAATCTATAGCTTATATATACATGCTTGCAAATTATAACTTAAACACTCAAAGTTGTTGTACTTGTCCGAAATTACTCGTTAATGCAATACAAGATCTAATTTTAGAATTTTATTATATATAATTCTTTGCGTTACGCATAATGATATATATTTTAAGATGATTTCCAAAATAGACTATTGTATACTATATGAAATATATGCATATGTACTATATATATATGTGTATATATCGGTATGTCATGAATTTGCATGATAAAAATAGGGAACATCTATTTCCACCATTGTCCATAATTTATAGCAACAATGTTCGTCATGTATATATAGCTAAAAGTCATGTGAAAAACATGGTGGAAATAGTAAATTTTAATGGTGTAAATAGGCGCTCCCTAAAAATAATATCGGTAATAATACTGATGGATAATAATAATTTTCGCGGCTGATGCTGAAATTTAGGGTTTCTATTTAAATCTTTTAAACCTACTAAAATCCACATATACTCCTTTTTTTTACTAAACCCTAACCTAATTCTAAAAAAAAACTAAAAAAATGCACCACAAAAATTTTAAATTTCTTATAAAATAGGTTCGATTCTTAGCTCAGCCGCTACAATAATTTTTATATATCGTAATAATTTTGGTAACCTAATAACTAAAAATATAATGAATTTAGTATTCAGAAACAAGCTTTGCTAATTTTTTTTTTTTACTATAAATCTAATCTATTTTATCATACTATTATATTGTTAGAATAAGAAAACAGGACAGTGTTTACATACCACATGTCGATAAAAAAAACTGAGGGTATATTTATAATGCATGCTCATAAACTAAACTTTCTTGTGATCCACCTTACATGTTACTGTCACATATTTTGATCATATTTTGTTATTTAAAATTTAAATAAAAATAATAGAACGCATATTAAACTTAAATTAGAATACTTTTTATATTCGTTTATATATTTTTATATTCGTTTATATATTTTTATATTCGTTTATATATTTTTATATTCGTTTATATATTTTTATATTTCTAAATAATAAGGTGACTTAACAACTGAGTCATGATTTATAGATACGAAGATTACATAGATATGTCAAATCTATAAATTTGTGGCTGACTCTTGTAGTTCGGTTCAGATTTTTTTAAACGCAATTGCTAATAATAAAAATTGGGTAATGTTATACCACAACTATCTAAGAGAATATCCCTTTCCATCAAACCAAGAAATTTACTATGGTATTTTACCCTCTTTGGATTTGAATTCTTTAAATGATGCATTAGTTCCTTCTCAAAGTAAGAATTTATAATTAAAATTGTAATAGCGAGAGAGAAATTAATTATTTAATTTTGTATAGACAGTTATTTCCGAATATTCTGAAAATTTTTCGGTCAGTAAATTACCAGAAAATGAACCTGAAGTTTGCAAAATTAATGTTAACAATCTAGAAAAAAGTATAAAAAATATTAATGATCGTATAACTAACGCTGCTAATGATCAATATAAACCTTCATATAAGCATGAAGTGTTTGTATTCACTTTTCAAAAACATAACATAAGAATTTCACTTTAGAATCGAAAATTTCAATAAATTTTGATAAAAATAAGAATTTTTTCATATAATCCTCAATAGAATGGAGATCAAATCTCTGGACATGGACATATAATATCCCTCTCTTGAATTTAACAAACTATTGATTATAAAAGTAAGATTGTATGGCCGGTATTATGCAAAAACATTGATCACATGACCTTATCTCTGACAGAGATAAGGTCATGTGAACCAACCATCAAAGATTTATATGCCTATATATTTTCTTTAGAATAAATTGTTGTATTTGAGTAGCATCTTATATATATATAAAAAATAAAGAATATAATCGGAATTATGGGTATATTATATTTCTCTGTTTAGTTATGCCAAGCGCTTTAAAAAACTATTTATGCATTTTAGACAACAAACACACTGTATTTTTACTAAGTTTACAATATATAAAGAGATTGTAAATAGAATTGTAATTTTCTAAAAAATTATAATTATATAAAATTGTTTACTAAAACTAAAAACAGCTGATAGATAATCAAAAAAAAAAGTTAGACAAACACTATAAAGCACATAAAAAGAATATATAGTGTATGATCCCATTCTCTGGATAATCAATTTTCTTTTTTACATTTTATGGGTGAGGCAGGGGTCGGTCGAATAACCTTCTGAAGATATTTAATTGCCTGAATAGAACCCTCTTGAGAAGAATTTCTTTCTATTTCTTGTATTATTTTTAAAATTACTTCATAATTTTCTTTTATGATTCCCTAAAATGAACAAATTGTGTAAATATTTTGAAGTATAAAAATTGTGCATCATTACAAACCTTTACAATTAAATAGATCTCAATCATTGATCCTACATCATGTTTTTCAAAAGAGGTAGGAATAATCCCCTTGCATGTCAACCAAGTAAATCGAAGCTTTTCTGAATTGAAATGTAATAATATAAGCTGTATCTGTCTATCTAAAAATAAACAATATTTTAATATAAAATTTTAATACTAGTCACATAAATCTTAAAACATCTTACTGAAAACAAATAGCCCAACCCATCTCATTTTACTAAAAAGAAGATTTAATTCAGAAGTAATAATTTTAACAGTTTTTGAAAAAAATATAATAAAATTATTGATGGCATCATTTAATGATCGAATAAGCTTACTATAGACACCACAATTTGATGCATTAGGTAATTTTACTTCGCACATCAAAATATATAATGAGTATCCTTCATACGTATAAGTGATTGCAGCATCAACTTTCTGTGGATAAATACGTACATCATCATAGTAGGATTCAGAATTTCCAATTGGCTAAAAGCAATTTGTTTCATTGTCTTTATTTATGATTTCATCAGAAATGATATTTCCTTCTATAACCTCAATATTATTAAAATATTCCCGGGCTTGATTAAAAGTAGATGATGATAATCCAAATAGTGGCTGATGATGCCACCTTTTTCGTTTGACAATACACTTTGCAGGATGTTCGGGACTATTGTTTTTTAAATTCATTTGATTTAAATGATTTTAAAAGGTTTGTATAATAAATTCCAAGTAAATTATCTTACCCATGAAGATGAAAGTGTTGTAACAGACCATCTAAAACAGTATCAAGAGGATAATAAACATATTTATAAACATAATGTGATTCAAGGTTGAAAGCAGATAGGTTGATCCATTCAAGTAGCCTATATATCAAAGAGAAAACAATGAGGTTGAAATATAAATTAATTGGCAAATCATTTTTGAATGAATAAAAAAATAATAAATCTTATAATAAACAAAATTAGAAATTTATATGTTTTTTCTATAGTACAAAAATGGGGCTTGCTTACATATAAAAGTTTTTTTTTTTATTAAATAATTTTTTTTTGCTTTAATAAAAGTCGTAAAGCTAATTTTTCTGATTCTAATAGTGGTAAAATCATCAAAATCGGGTTAATAATATGAGTATTTTTTAATTATTTACTATAGAGTTTTTTCTTAAGAATGGAAGCATATGGCATTCCACTTACTATATAAGGCAATTAGTCACATGCCCACCAATTTGTAATATGAAATTTTAACTCTTTAACTGCGAATTATTAATTAAAAAAATATATAGCAATATAAGACTTACCATGACTTCATAATTGTTTTACAATAATTTTGGTGTAAATCTTCTAAATTAGAATTTAATTCTATTTGAGGTGAAGGTTCAAAACTTGGATTATACTTTTCAAATACTAAATCCATAGCATTATTGATGTCATCATATTGTTTTGTTGAAAATTTAAATAAGTTATCATTTTCAATATGTAAAATAGCATTTCTTTGATAAATAGACTGCCAAATTTCACTGTTGAAATTTACTATAAAACAATAAAATGGGTCAGTTATTGGGAGTTCTAGAAGTTTTTCCTTTATTTTATCAAGATCTTTTAGCCTTTTAAAAAACTATTGTGGCTTGGTATCTGCCTATAATTTGAATAGATATTAATAAATAACATTGTTAATAAAATAATAGAACTTAAAGAACTTACTAGAAAGTCCATATATAAGTTAATAATTTTTCTTTTTTTTGAATTTCTGCTCACAGAAGAATTTCTTTAATCTGAGCTTCTGAAATATTTTTCAGGTAATTTATAGTTGTTATTAGTTGTATTTTATCAGTGCATGAATAAATAGCGGTCTGTATATTTGATAGAATATCTATATTGTTATTTTCTTGATAAAAAAAAATTAAAATTCCATAACATTGTTATTTTTTTAATCTTATTTAACCTCAAAAAATAAATTGTAATCTGGGATTGTGATTGAAATCTTACCAGTATATGGTTTTGTAATATCAGCCCAAAACTGAAGAACCCAGTAGTCTCCATTTTCTAGTTGTTTCTATAAATTTATAAGAGCTATAAATATTAGTAATATGTTGATGAAAATTTTAATTAAAGTACTTCGTCAAAGCTTCTCATATGTGTTGTAATCAGCTAAAATTTATGAAAATATTTTGTAGAAAATCTTAAAGAGTATTGGATGATATATTGCAAATATCCAAATTCTTCTTAGAACATAAAACTGCCAATTTATATAGAAACATATCACAAGGATCTAATTAAAATACACAAAATATTAGATGATATATTGCAAACAACTAAATCTTGTCCATTTAGCAAACTGGTTTTAGCATTGAGTTACACAGTAGAAATTATATTGTTCCTTATTATATTGTGAAATTACTAGCTTATGCAAAAAATCATAGATATTATACTATTTTTAATATAAAAGCTAGACTTAAGTAACCATATCTAAAATATTTCCAGGGCCTCTACTAATTGTTCATTCATAAACTTTTTATTCCACTTAGTTTTTAACTTATTATCTGAAAAAATTTAAAAGCTGTTTACATATCTTCTTATTTTAGCTAGAATAATTGATATAAAACTGTCATGATTCTTTCAATTTATTACTATAAAGCTGGTGCATTAAAAGTTTATCTTTGTACACTAATTTCAACCTTTATTGGCAAGTTTAATTTTGCAAAAGTTTAAAAACTTAATCAAAGAAATTTCATTAAGCTTCTTCATTTTTTGATTAAAAAAATCCTTGATAAAGTTCTGAACTGCATCTTTATTTAGCATTTTATATATACTATGATAGAAAAAAGTGGGAACTGATAGTATAAAACAAAAATTGCAGATCAGTAATCGCATGTGATCTTTTGAAAACTTAATGTTGTTAGTTTCGTCCAAATAAATTATCGATTTCTAGAATTACTATAAAAAAATTTGATTGCTATTTTGGTATCAGTGTATAACAGAATAGGAATGAAAGAAAAGAACAACAATGAAAATAGAACCAACGATGCAATCTTTTGGCTTCTTGATAGTTGTCGTAAATACTATTTGGATCATAACACTCTAACAAATAATAATATACAGGTTGTAAAATATTATAAAAATATTCAGATTATAAAGTCCTTTTAGTAAGTGCTTGGATTCTCTGCTAATATAATAATTAATATTCAATTTAGTATATAAATATTTTTATCTCTTTGATAACTGTTTTCAGACAAATATTCATTATTAATTTAAAAAATGAATCTATTATTGTTATGCATATTCAGGCAGATTTATGTAATTTAGCTTCAGCTAAATAATCTGCAAAATTAGATGGGTTATGAGTTGCATATTAGTCGAAAAATGATGAATTTCTTCCTATCTCTCGCTTTATATGATACAATGAATGAACCCTTAAAGATGCAAATATATTTACTAAAAGCATATCAAATTTACTTAACAACTTTGTTTTTTCTCTCATGGAAGAATATTTTAAATGCCAGCATCCTTCATATTATTCTTTTATTAACTATTTGAGATACAATATAAATGACCACTAACAATGAAATAAAAGAACAATGGTGTTCACTAGATAGGGTTCCTAGGTTCAGTTCAGTTCAAATTTAGGTTCAATGAACCTGAAC